TTTTTTTTTGTTAGATGCCTTTCATTTACAGCAAGAGCTTTTTTTTTTTTGTTAGATGCCTTTCATTTACAGCAAGAGCTTAACTCCCTTGCATTGCTAGAATAAATTGTGTTTTCATTTCYAGGCTTGTGAATTCAAAAAAGCAGTACTGCAGACAAAATTTCTCAGCTTGTCTCTGTAGATTAAAACATATATCAATACATGGGAAAGTGGGGGATCACCCTATAGGGCTCGATGCAGAGTTTTGGGTGCAGGCCCAAGACAGGACATGGAGTGAGTTAGTCCAGGGGTGTGTGTGCCCAGTATTGTGTGTTTTGGCAAAGGGCAGCAGATACAGCCTTCTCAACTTCCTGGAACCTCACGTTGTCCCAGGGAATGCATTTTGAATTGTCTTTGCAGATTTGTGTTGAAAATGAAGCCAAGTTCAGTGTTTCTAATTCGCCCATCACCACTATATGAAGTGCTAATTARAGCAAACTCTAAGGTTGGTTTATGAAAGTTTCTATGATAATAAAGAATATGTAAATAAATCAAATTACTTTTTGAAAGAATTTTGCATGTTCAGTTGAGAGCCATATACAATATTTAAGCAAAAAAATTCATCCTGACTTAACTGTCAYCAGAATTGGTAAAGGAAAGAAAAACATCAATACATTATAAAATTTATAAACAGTGCTCTGTGGGGTCACTTTTACACATTGGTTTCAAAAGTCATATATCAATAACAAAATAATTAAAGGCACTCCCTCATGAGTCCATCAGTAGTTTTAATGAATCATAGATTGCATTACAGTCAAACCTAAAGCCATTAAAGGAAGATGGCAAAAGCCAATATCATTATCATACCTGTTTAGAATTACATGAATAGCTTRTAACATGATAGGCTAAGAATCCATCATATGGTACAGGGGACTATCTTATGAAGTTTCCWGGAAATCAAACTGGTTATTAATTACATTAAAATATGGAATGTGGGTCAAACTGCCTTACAGATCTGAGCCAAAATRGAGGTTGGTATCCAGAATGACACACAAAAGTAACTGAGTTGTTACACACTGAGTAAGAGGCTGAGAGGAATCCCAAGGACACATAAACAGTTGATAGCAAATGCAAAAACTGAACCTAGATACCTTCAGTCTTATGCTTATTTATAATTGCAGTCCTATCATTTTTCTGAAGCTTTGTATCAATTTGTCTTACCCTGAGTAAAATGTTACCTCATGATAGAACTCTGCTTTTGAAAATTGTAATGCATTATTTAATTTACAGGGTTAGTTTTCCATTAGAACAATAATAGTGAGGCCTACATATTCACCTGCTGGGTTTTTTTGAGATGTAGCTAATATTTAATTTCTTATGATCCTTCATAAACTCCAAAATYTAAACATATTTAACCTTCACAACACCTTGAGGAGCTTGGTGGATGAATTTTATTACCTCTGCTTTAAAGAGGAGCAAATGAGGCTGAACAGATGACAGAACAAGTTTAGAACTTAGACCTTGCTACCTATCTGGGGCTGTGTTCAGTGAGAATATGTGGGWGATTTTATTTTTTCCAGGAAAAAGAGAAATAATCTCATTAAAASTCACAAGTAAACTCAGTTCTTCTGTGCATTTTTAGGTAGATGACAAACTTCATGCAAATATCAAAGCTACCTTTAAGCCATCCATAAAGAAATGAGTAGCAGTTGTTTCCCCTATTTTATCTTATCTATCTGCTGTTCGTGCAGCTAGATTTGGAGTTCTTAAACAGAATAAATATGAAGCAACTGGAACAGATCTATAGTTTAAAAACAGACACAAYTAAAAATTACAATATATTAAATTTTGAAAATGTCTGACTAGTTTGAATCAGTTGTAATGAAAGCTTAATGAAGAATAAGAAATATGGCAAACATCTATTCTGTCATATGAAACCACACAGAGTGCTGAAATCTGGGGTAGATTTATACCATAAGGATTAGTTCCTGTGCAGTTACATGATATTATTCCATCTTTACTTAAACATGGATTTACATGATTATTCTTATGGGCTGATGTCAAAAACAGAAAAAAAAAAAAAGTCAGGTCAATATCAATCACTGGAAAACAGGGTTTTTTAAAGGGTTTTGTACTGATAAGTATGAGCAGAAAGATATTCTTAGCATGTTGACTATGAATGACCTGCTTGTATGGTTCAATGTATTTTAAAGCCCTAATGTCTTTCAGAGAATAAAGCAGGAGTCATGCAGCTTCTAATTATAATTAATTTCTAGATTGAAATTTTACCTTAATCTACTAAAAAAACCCTGCCTACCTAACACTTTTTCATGACAGCAACATAGAAACTCAGGGGAAGAGGAGATTTTCAGATAACAAAATCTCTTTATTTTTCAGGGCTGTCAGCAGATTTTTCAAAATTCARTCTTATCAACAAGTCATAGAATAGTACTCAGCCTTATGTCATAYCTGAATAACACCAAAATTACTAAGTTGCAATTTCCTGCTAGATCTTTGTAAGAATTATTTTACTGTAATGTTAGAAAGCTGTCATTGCATGCTCATCAGAGAACTGTATGCTGCAGATAAATTAGAGACTTGAGAGCTTTCTTAGATGATATATGATGCTACTTTAATTCTAACAAAGAGTAAAAMAACATATATTAGATTATACCGCTTTATATCTAACAATGAATAAGACATCATATGATTTGTGTGGTACTGATGTCATTTAGACATACATCAAAAGTCAAGAAAGACCCCATAACCCCTAATAGCACAATGAGGCTTAAAATGAACTTGTGTATTACAATTTTTCTGGACATAACATAAACAGAAATATGCAAGCACAACCATGTGTTTAATGTTTATTTCTCCCATTCCTTGCCCTCTCCCAAAAGAAAACCACTAAAAAAAGAATAATCTCAGTTCTTGTGGTCTTGTATCATGGTCAAGGAAACTAGATAAGTGAAACTATGGTTAAGACAGAGTTTCAGGGTGCACTGCCATGGTGTGCTCTGAGGGAAGACACCACCAATGCTCAGGTAAAAAYGTGCTGAGGGCAGTCTGTTCCAGTGGGTTCAATGTGGGACTCTGACACCTTTCTGTAAAGAGGAAGAGGAAGAAAAGTGGGCTTTWTAGAAGGACTTGGGAGTTTCTTGACAGAGAAGAGAGAGGATCTCAAGGGTATTAATCAAGGGCAGTATCCTTAGACTTGCAGGGGAAAGAAATTCTAGCCCACCACAAACTCCTAATTAACTGAATTTTTGCTTGGTGAGGTAAGTGCTGCAAAGCAGTCTGGTCTGCTGTTGTTTGCAGGACCTGAATCTTTCAAATAGTTTGAGTTACTGTGGTTAAAATTCCTTTTCTAAGTCAGTATTCATTGGCATTTTTACTGTTCTGAAATGAAGCTAGGCTTAGCTGGACATGTTAGGCAAATCTGTGATCAGATGATGCTGTGAGTCATTAGGTTACAATCCAGAAAGGCTATGACAAAAAAGGGTGTTAGTATACTTACCTGAATCACATCTGTGCATTCATTTGGTTTGGAAACATTTTACAAATAATTGGGAATGACAATTCCTTGTCTGAGACAGACTGTGAAAAAGCATGAATAAAAAGACAAGCAAGAGCACAACAGATTCCTTTAAATTAGAAAAAAGGCAAAAATTTACTTGCATAATAAAGGTTTTAGGAGGTAAAATTAACTGCATTTTTTTTTTTTTTTGTATATAGGTGTTTATGTATCTAATAATTGGAACTTGCAGCTGGATTTTCAGAAGTGCTTGGTCGCTGGTGGAATTGGTGCTGTAATCAGGAATTGCAAACTTCTAATATGGAAGTTTTAACTGGAAGTTGGATAGTGAAAAAGCTGTTTGCATTCAAAGTTGTGATCCTGACACCTCATTTTAGTACCATGGCACCAACATGGTATTAAACATTTAACAGCCCTGCTACTAGTAACGCTATATAGTAAGGCTAYGTTTAGTGTGTAGGAAACAGTCTTTGAAGCAGGAAAAAGAACCCCGGTTTACTTGCTCTTAAGTTAGCACTTTAATAATTGGCATATTTTTCTCACTATATCTTTGTTTCTGTTTTACTTCGGTAAGTGTGAGCGGCAGGCCTCAGACTTCAGCTGCCATACTGTAAGCCTGCAATCTCCTTGGATTTAATTAGAATATATTAGAATTGATACTTCAAGAAGACGTSTATGTCCACCCATGCACTGCATTAAAGTATTTTCAGTATCATTTTGTGTGACAAAATGCTAGTTTCAGCTATATGTCAGTTTTTCACAGATGCAGGCGAGTTCCAAGAATTGGGGAAGTTACACGAATTACTGAAAGCTTTGTTTGGGTTTTTTTTTCCCCCTTTTTTTTAGCAAATGATCACAGCTGTGTTGCTGCCGGCAGGCTGTCCTGTTTCCCCGCTGCTGGAGCGCTTGTCCTGAGCGCGGCGGTGCGCGGTGACAGAGGCGGCAGCGGGATGGCCTTTGCTCACTGGGGGCAGCCTGGCAGCGAGGGACACTCACCGCCCGCCCAGCCCTGCCTGCCTGGGCAACACGGGASCCTGCAAAGCCATGCTCTGGGGCGCACAGCTCTGCGGAGCCGCAGCCTGCCGGGGCTTCCCCCGTTCTCCGGGGGAAATATGCTGCCCGGCCGGACCGCCCGGAGCCGCGGAGGGCGGCGGGCGCGCCCAGGTCCCAGGTGCAGCCGCCCTGAGGCGGGGAGCGAGCTCCGCGGGCGCGGCCTGCCGGGGAGCAGCGCGGGGGTGGGTGGGGTGGGGTGTGGAGCCAGCCAGGCAGGCAGGAAGGAAGGAAGGAAAGAGAAACCAAGCAAGAAAGTGAGCGAGCGCGGAGCCGGAGGGAGAGCAGAAAGCTGAAGCGTTCTAGAGCCGTGCGCCTCCTTCCTCTGCCTCGTCTCCCCGCCAGCGCTGGGTTTTGCCGAAGGTGAGCCGGCCTCGGCGGGCGCGGGGGGTGCGGGGCTGGGGACAGCGTCTGCAGCCCGCTGAGCCCCACGGGGCCGCTCCTGGGCCGGGCCGGGCCGCTCCGGGCGGGATGTTGGGGCTCCGGGGGGATGTGGGGGCTCCCGGGGGGATGTTGGGGCTCCCGGGGGGATGCTGGGGTTCCCGGGGGGATGCTGGGGCTCCCGGGAAGTTGTTCGGGCTCCGGGGGGATACTGAGGCTCCCGGTCCCGCTGCTGCTGCGCAGGGACTTAAAGTTGCCGAAGAGTGCACAGTGGTTTCACAGCGAGCATGTCTCAGACGAGCGACCGAARTTGGATTCAGCTTAGAAATAGCTGGTAGGCAGGTGGAAATTACGGCGTGTGTTGCTCTCTGTTTTCTTGCTAGCTTCAGTTGTTTTAACGGTTTGTATGTAAATGCCACGCTAAAGAACAGTGCTTTATTATTGTGTATTTATGTACTGTATGAGTTGTTTTTGGGAAGTCAGACATGAGCAGACCTCCTGTTAGCTGTCATTATATACCTGGGAATTTTATCAGAAATTTTAAGTAAGTCGAAGAAGCAGAAGGGTGTCCTGGATCGACAATACGAAGTGGGGGGTACAGCACCTTAGCGTTGCCACAGCAACTTCCCAAAATTCTTATTCCAGCTTAAGTTTGCTTATTCATGCCATGCAGTTCCTTACTCCAGCGACTCTGCAAGTTCCACTGGAATTTCTTGCAATATGACGTTTGACTCCGAGGTAACGAAGGTGGTTAAACCTTTTTCTAGAAGGCAAGTGTTCTGAAATTTAAAAACAGAATACGAAAAAAAGAAACATTTTGACAGAGGATTAAAGTTATTTTTTAATTATCCACTAGGMTGGCCTATGCTTAGTAACTTCCTTGTATTGGAACAGTTCTATCATAATCTATCTATCTTTCTTTCTCTTCTTTTTTTTTTCCATGCAGTTGATATGATTGTATTATGTAGGCTTTTGGAAAGATCCTTAATATACAATATTTTCTATGTTAATCTTGTCAGTTTTTATGGAGTCAATTACATTGCGAAGATGACATTCACTACTTGCAGCTCCATGGTAAGACCTGTTGTATTGTTTCATTTTGGTGTGGTTGGTTGGGTTTTTTTTAGGGTTCTTTTTT